CTGGCAAACATCTTTTCAAAGGTATCTGCTTTGATGTATCTGTTTTGTTCCTCTTCACCGATTTACTTGATTCATGTGACAGCTTATTTCGAACTTCAAGTCGATGATGTGCTGCCTGGTTTTTTTGTGCCAATTTCGATTTGTCTCACTTGTGTATTTTGATTCATTCATTGATTTCAAATGCCATTTACCAAATCTCCATTGGTCAAACAACCGATTTGATCATCCAAACCATCGTTTTGGCGCACACGCGTACCAAATCTCAACTCAATCTTGTTAACTTAAACTGAATCCAAATTACACGATGCTTACAAGTACTCTCTTCTCATCGATTGGATGGAAAACAATTGGTTAACGAGCAAGCGGATCGGTATCTGTGCGCAGCAGCTTCACCAGCATGATAATTCGTTAAATCGCTTCACGATTTGGGTGAACATTTTAACGACGATTTTTAATGATGACAACAACAAATATCCGACAATCGTCCATTCTATCTTGCCATTTTTTTTTCTGTAGCTTCGCGGCACTAGTGTGTCTGGTGGACAACAACTTGTAAAGAGAAAAAAAACTTACTTTTACATTCAGATCGCTTTGAGTGAATCGATCCAAATCGAACGAAAAAAAAAAGAAATAATCAAGCTGTTTGCGTTCGATCTGATCGCATATACTCCAAATTCAAATGGATATTGGCCATAAAGGAAAATAATTTCTCTTGGTTCTCTCAATTCTAGATTTGGCAATGTGACTTTTTAAACACAAACTGCTAACTAGCTACCTGCTGCTGTTGCTGTTGATGTTGGTACTGTTGTCGCACCGCGCCATTCAAAACGATTTGTTTGATTTTCTATATTTCTAATTTCTTTCGAGATTTATTCATTCATACAATCGGATCGAGTCGGATAGTTTTAATTAACGAAAATGGAAGCAACAACATTGATTGTCAGGTATTTATAAATCGACTCGTTATGGTTGCATTTCACTATAATTAGCAATCGTGAATGGTGGCATGCCAACAAATTATTATTGTTTGATATATATTTTTACCTTCGCTTAATTGAAACATTTTGATTTCGCCTTCTTCGTCCATGTACGCGCAAATCCAACCAACCAAAAAAGAAACTGATTGATGATGCATCGAATTATATCGGGTTGCATTGATCCACGGAATGGGAAGAAAGTGCGCGAACAATAACTGTTTTACATTTCTTTTCCGAATCTAAAAGGAATACGTATTAAATTGATTCATATTTTGCTGATGACAATTTTTTTTAATGGTTCACCAAAAAGTACTTAATTCACTAAATGAAAATGTGAATTGAATCATTGGAAGCGAGAGTAAAAATGATGATTTTTTTAATTGAAGAGACAATGCTGCATACCTACACATAACCACTTTGCGACCGCATACAAATGTACGTATCATTTCAATGGCTAACGGAATCGTCATCAAATCCACCTAAAATTGGAAACTTGGTCATTGCAAAGGCGTGTATATTCGGCGAAATTGGATTCCGTTTGTGCATTGCAACTGACTAAATCGGTCGCTGATTCATATTACTTTCCCTGATTAACACGAAAAGAAAAATAAATTAGGGTCATTTGATTCAATAAAAGTTTATTTGAATAAATTTCTATGGGCCGTGCACGGTGATATCGGCTGGCACAAAATCGATTGAATCAAATTGTTGAACGGTGTTGTGTCGATTGATATAAATAAGTCTTATCCATCGAATGTATATGTAAATGTCGGAAAGTATACGGCCTATCATCATTCATTTTGGTTGAAAGACGAATAAAATATGCTTTGTTTTACAAGTTTTTCGTTTCTCATTTTTTTTCCATTTGACTTATCATCATCTGTGCAGCCATTGGTTATTTAGGCTTTTGTGTTTCGTGTGTTCCACATACCATTCGAATTAAGAAATAATAATAATATTAAAATGGTGGTATGTAAATTTTCTACGCGCAGAATCAATGAGAAAAGAAAGAAAAACGCATTACAACCGTTCAGTTTATCCATAAATCCAATATAAAATATGAATCCAAACACCTACAATGCTATGACCGCACGTGTGTGTTGGTTGGCACATATTTTTTTTAGTTTTTTTTTTCTTCTTATTCACCGAATTCTCGGACTATGGTCTTTTGAATCTTCTGCTTTTTTTCGCTGCGTAAATCGTCAAAACAAAAGACATTCCTTCGTTTAACCAAATTCCATTATGCATTTTTAAATGGCTTTTAATTTCAACCCATTTTTATATATTGGCCGCGCTGTTATTTGGGCTAATTTTAATCTTTCCCACGACACCATATTTACTGGACATTTTAGCCTATTGTTCTACCCAAACCGTTCTCTCTCTCTTTTGGATTTTCATCGCCATTCAAATTGATTTTATGCTCGTTCTCTTTCACTACAACTTGCATTGCAATTCTATTTAAACTCTTCAAGCGATCCCACGTAATTGCTAGCGAGAGAATTAAAAAAAAGAAAACATTCCAAAATCAGGCCTTTCTTTTAATTCTAATTCGAAAATAAGCATCTTCATTTAAATTATGTAAGTGTGAAAATTTGCGGAAGATTTTCGATTAAAACAATCAAAATACATACACACTAATGCCATACTTTCCCATTAAAAAGAACCATTTAATGTCTAATTAAAGCATTTTTTTTGTGTTGTAATTCAAATGAAAGATGACTATGAATAAAGGCCAAAAGAAGTGTGCCATTCGCACTTAAATTTCCCTACTCGAAGATGAACAAAAAAATCTATGATGTTCAAATGTAGTGAATTACACAAATTCTTGAATTGTTTATTCATCGCGTTGGAATGCAAACACTTTTGTGTCATACCTCCGTATTCTGCTTCATTTTTTTTGTTCAGTTGTTTGCTCGTTGTCAATGTGATTCGATTATATCTGCCGGATTTTTGGTTGAAACTTTCTTTTTGCGAATTTCATTTTGGTATGAATTCTTTCACAATGCAGTTCGTTTGCGGTTAAATTTATGAAATACAATAAAAAAAAATTGATAATCTCGTGTCTTTTTGACATCGATAACAAGACGATGTCATGAAATCTGGATGATCAGCTATTGATATCATGTGCCGCATTTTTCTGTCGTGAAAATGTCGAAATTATGCTACCAATATTCTGTCTCGGGAATGTATGTCGTAATTAATAATGTGTGTCGTATGTAAATCTTGTCATCGTTTCGTTTATCTCTTCGGAACCGAATAAAGAACACATGCATAATTCCATATTTGACAGGTGAATACATTTCCCCCCCAAAAAAAAACTTTATTCAATGATTGAGCACTTTTTTCTCGTTCAAAAATTAATAATTTACATTTTCGAAAAAAAGAACTCTCCAGTAGAACCACACATTTTACAATGGAATTTTTTCTCAAATACCATCAAAAATGCCATTTCTAAAATGGTCAAAATCATCGATTGAGTCGAACGTAGCAACAGCATTGAATTTCGAACTTCGATGAGATTCGAGACTTTTCTTTTTTTTTATCTATGAATTATCATCGAAACCGTTACACACATCTTTGCTGAGTGACAAAAAAACAACAGCCAAATACTGTTAATGAATGAAATGTTGTGACAAATTAATGCAAAATAAAAAGCGAAAACAATTTTAACGTTTTAAATGTTGATGGCTTCTTTCTGAATGCGAACAATTTCCGACACTGTGTGTCGTTGGTTGTTGTTGTTTTTTTTTTGCGCATGTTCGTCAAGCGGATCTGCTTAATGATGTAAGAGACACGATTGTTTACAACAAGGAATTGTCATTATTATCGTCGTTTACTCGGCTTTTCTACTTATTTGGTCAGACATGCGAAGAAAGTGGCAAAATATCAGGTTAGATATAGTGCCATTGTTTCACATGATTAGAGCAAAAGAAGAAATGTGCGAAATGACGGCGCATTGAAACCAAGCGAATTCATTAGTATTTATGCAAATCGTTATAGACAGTAAAAGTTTTATTATTATCATTTTCGCAAGCAGATTTTTTATGCAGGCACGAGATTGATATTATTATGAAGAGCGGAAAAACGTGCATGAAATGAAATGGCAATCAATAAGCAATAAAGTGCTAATTAAATTCAATTTCATGTGATGAAGCTTTCGCTGGCTGTGGAATTGCTCTCGTTTGGTGCAATGCACAGTTGTTTGTGTCTTTGGTTCAGTGTGTCAGTAGTGGTATGCGAGGTACAGATTTTTCGGTCACGATTTGGAATCAATGTATGAACGGATTCCGAAAAAAAAATCCACTGTTCGGTCAATGTATCTCTTGCGCATTCCATAGGCATGGAGAAAGAGATAAGCGGTATTTCTTATGCGATCATCAGTTACTTATTTGCGTGTGTGTGTATTTGTGGATCGATTGCGTACTTTGAACTACTATTTTCCATCTCTCATTTCCCCAGGTTGTTGCTTTTGTACTTTGCGTGATCTGAACTTGCGATCGCGCAACAGACTTTGACACTGTGTCTGCGTTGTAATTGTCGGTAACTGTTCTTTACGCTTTGAATATCTTCATTTCATTTACGTTCCGTACCTTCATGATGATGACGACGTCGTCGTCATTGTCGACGACGATCATCATCGTTGTTATTACGACGCTGTCGTTTGCGCGGTCGATTTAATTCATGCGGTTGGTGTTATTCTTCTCATCGCATTGCTTCGTCTTCTCCTGAGCCTAAGAATATATGTAAACAATGTTACGTGCATTCTGTGCCTCGGTGCCGCATGGCTCATTGCCATCACATAGAGATGATGAGAATTGGAGAGGGATTTTTATTAACACCACATATTGAATGTTATTATCGTGTTATTTATATATATTTTTTTCGGCGTATGTGTACATGTAACCACTGTAACGTTCATTGAATATGTACATGTCTAATGTAGGACTTTGGACAATTCATACGTACGGTACCAAGTGCTATCCGCGTCTTTAAAAACCAAGAGCCGAGGCTGAAAAGTTGTCAATGCACCATCTGTTCTTATCGAGTGAACACACGGGTTTTTTACAGTGAATTAATCAAGTTCTACCGTTGCGGTGTTGTAATTTTTATTATATTTTTTTAAAACATTTTCGTCGAAAAGAGAAATTTAAACACTTTGCTGTTTTAGTTCAAAAAAAATAATAATAAAATTGTTTTCAAAGTAACATAAATTAAATAAAAACAAAAATGAAGGTGTTTATCGTATCGTGTATGTTGATGAGTGTGGCTCTCGCTCAAGCTGTGCCAAGCGGCCAACAACCATCCACATTTTTACAAGAATGTTTCGACAAAGATTCAATCTCTTGTGTTCAAACCACGGTACGAGAATTATTTCATTTTTTCTAACATACATTTCATTTTCACCAAAAAAATAAATAAATTAGTCTCATCAAAGTGTAGTGCTTTTTTCTGTTTTTATTGGAAATCGTCGATATCAAACAATTTACAATTTGGATTACCAGTGCGCGCCGAAAAAAAAAAACTATAAATAATTGTGTGCGAAATGATTTGCATTCCAAATGAATTGTGATGGAAAAAAATTGCTTCGCAAAAGCATCGAAACAATAAAATCAAAATTAATATCGAGAATATCAAGGATTACGCGTACCACATTTGGGATTACGTTTCTCTCAGTGGTGTTCGAACGCCAAAAAAGAATTTCGCACCAACAAAAATGAATTTTTACTATGCACACCACCAGTGTATACATCTAAAAAAAAATGCGACTGATTTACATTTAAATGTGCCGCGTCGAATTTAAAAAGATACCATAATCAGTTACGGACGAATAGATGCAAACAAACATGGATTGATGATAGAAATTTAATTCGATTTCACTTTCCATTTCCCGTAACGCATCACACTCAATTATAAGCATTGGATGCAGAACAAATGCGCCATTCCAACAAAAATCAAAATCATGTCACAATTTTTACCATTCATAATTATTTTTATTATTTACATATATCGCCTATCTATTTCTATGTTTGGCACTGATCCAAATATGAACAAAAAATCATTTTTCTAAAGAATTCCAATTGTTACCAAATATATAGATCTATCGTCGTGCTCGTGAATTCTTTGATCAGCCAAGCATTAAGTTCGTCGGTGGTCTTTCGTTTGCCAAATCGAATGAACGTGCCGGTAAAAGCCTAGAACCAGAGCCACAAGTTGAAGAAGCCAGCAGTGTTCAAGCTCGTGAACTCGCTTTGGAAGATTACCTATTGAACCGTGTGAAGAACTTCTTCACCGAACGTAAGTTTTTACGATTTATTTATATCGCTTTTTTCTTTCTCTTCTCTTCTCTTTGTGCCATTCGTTTCGCGACAAAATGATGCAACAAATTTGACCGCCTTTTTATTTGGATTTAATGATTTAGGATCAGTTAGCTGGGATTTCGCAACAGCAGGCCGTAGTCTTGCCAACGCCATTCCAGATGAAGTTAAAGAATCAGTTCGCGCTTTAGTTGTTGAAGGACGTACAAAGAAGAAGATCATCAAGAAATTGTTGCCATTGTTGGGTCTATTAAAATTGAAGTTGGCCGCTCTTGCTGTTTTGGCTATTGCTGGTATTGCCATCATCGCTAAAAAGGCTTTGATCACATCATTGATTGCTATTGCCATTGCTGGTGCTGGAGCTTTGTCAGGCGCTGTTTCAAAATTGTTGGGCCGTCGCGGTGGTGCTGGTGGACTTGGTGGATGGTCACAAGGCAGCAATGTTGAAGAAATTATTGCATACACGTGAGTTATCGCATTTTGTTTTACTCAAAGAAAAAAAATATTATTTTTATTCACGATTTTCAAGAAAATTTGGTTGAAAAAAAACAATCAAAAAAATTAGTTGAAAATGAAAAATGCATTCTATTGGGTTTTTCTCTCTCTCTCAAACAGCAATACCGGAGGAAACTCAGGATGGAATTCCGGCAACGCTGGATGGAACAACTATGATTCATATGCTGAACATGGTGCTCACAGCCAACCAGTTGCACAACAAATCGCCTACTCCGGACACAAAGTCGCTCGCCGATAATTCCCTTTCGCCCGCGATTGTAATAAAAAGTACACAAACATCGCGTTCGATGGTTCCACTAATCGATACAGCAAAATAACAAAAAGAAATCAAAAAATACCAATACCATCTCTCGATGATTTGCTCGATTCTTTTGCAGTAAATCGAACAGAGACGATTTAATTCATAAATATTTAATGCAGATTTTTTGTTGTTATTAGTAATATGTTTAAATTATTTAATTTATTTGCTATTTATTTAAATTATGTCTTACAAAGTAAAATCGTCAAACGAAAGAAAAGATTAAACTGGAAAATTGCATGTATTAAACACATAAACCGAACAAAAAAAAAATTGCACACGGGATTTTTTTTTCTTCTTCAAATTTTCAATTTTTCGAGCACAATTCAGAATAAGTTAATATAAATAATATGATATGAAAGAAAAAAAAACGGTTTCTCATAAGTTGAAATACTCGACAACCAATCGACCAACATGCACTCATTCGCAACATAGACACACAAAACGTAGCTGAACAAAAAAAAACCATAACAAAAGCACATTGACACTGACTCTGACTCTTTTCTTTCTATCCATCTCTCTTTCTCTGTCTCTAACAATAAATCGTGGCATAGCTCGAGCGAATAACGCTCCATGGCACGAACACACAACTCATCCGCACAGCATAGAATACACACTTTACCCAGATATTTTAGAACAGACAAAGTATTTCTTTCTTCCATTTTTTTTTTGCAGAAAACATGACGAAAGAAAATAACACAAATAATTGAACACCTCTTTATATCTAGTCCATAGTAAAACACTTGCAAACATCTTTTTTTTTATGAAAAAATAAAATAAAATAAAACAAATTGTTTGATGTATTTCGTTTGAAATTTTCTTTTGTATGATTTGAATGAGAAATAAAACTGAAAACACACTTTTTTTAATATCTGAAATGAAACCGAAAATGATGTTTGATTTATTGGATTGTATTTAGCAAACAAAGACACATAAAATGTATATGTGTGATTCAAAATAGAAGAAAGAAAAAAAGAACACACTGAATGACGGCGTCGCTGTGTTGATTTTGCTTAGAAATGGAGAGATTAACATTGGATGGAGCTGCATCAGTGTTTTCATTTTAAAAAACATCTCGCAAGTGTGAAATGCGAGAAATTTCAAAATCTTCAGCAATAATGAGATTATCTTTCTTTTAACCATTATCCGAAACGAGGTTGAAGTTTTGAAGTTGAATTGTCGGTGCAATTAATATGGTTACAATTCAATCATGTCTCAAATTATACCGAAAAAAAAAACTGTATTCTTCAGGCCAATTAGGTTCGAAGGTAGTTTTGTCGGATGCACTTCAAATTGGAAAATTACGTCAGTCGAACGGAGTGAAACAAAACGAAAATAGACATTATCGCTTGTTACCGGACAGAATCGTGTCGTCTCTTTAAGTTTTCCAATAATTAAAGTCGCCTCGATGCTCACAGCCAATCAATTTACAAAGTAGAGAAATCGGTATTTTTTTTTTTCGCTAACTACAGTTAGTTGTGCAAAATGGTTTGCCAACTCCGGGGACGGCTCTTATCGATACATATATGTATTGAATCGAGAAATATTGTAAATTATAATGCGATCGACTTCAATTCATTGATGAAATCACTTCTATTGAATGAATAAAAACAGTTATACACATGAAACGAAAGTAATATGGATCGCGGCGCATTTCACCCGGATCATATACACACACACTACACATAACGCAGATGATGAGAAAACATCAAAGAAGATACATTTCTCTTCCAGCCGATAATTGTATGCATAACTCTCGATCGAAAACCAGAACAATTAATATTTGACTTTTACAAATATACAAATTTTTCGTCATTTTACATACACACAAAAAGCCATTTGAATGCAAATAAAGGAAGGAATTTTATGCAAAAACCAACAACAAACATCATCGCCCAAAGAGATAACGATTTATATTTGAACAATTCGACGATATAAAAAAAAAGTCTGCTAATTCATAAAGTACACGCAGAAGCTATTTCCGATTAGCGTGTGTATCCATTTCTTTTGTTATTGTTGCTGTTTCTCGCGGGTCTTTCGTTCGTTTTACGTGCGTCTTAAGTGGTTTCACTTTTCAGATTTGTTAGTGTGTCGCCCATTTAGAAAAATGCGTGGTCAAAATTCCTGCGAGTAAAAGTAGCCAAATCTGATAAGGAGAATGGGAAGCGATTTGTGAGAATTGCGTGAAACTTTTTTTTGTTGGAACAATTCTATTGTTGATGGTGTGTTAACGTGCGTTTAGCCTTCGCACGGAACTTAAGGCGAAAGCGATGCTGAGAAAAGAATATGCAGTAACGCACGCTTCATTAGAACTGTTTTGTGTGTGTTTGAAATTCCAAAATACTGTTACTTTTGGCGTACGCTTAGCCCATATTGTTTGAATGCCTTTGCGCGCTCTCTTTCTGTCCCTCTTTCATCCGAATACATTGTATTCATCTATGGTGACCGAGTGAACCGATTATGATAATCTGCATGTGCGCGTGCGCTTACGCGATCAAAACAGCCAGACAATAAGATGAGATCGCGCGAATCGATGATTTTTCTGTATATATTATGTGTTTTGTGTGTCTCACTCTCTGAATCGAAACCTACTTTTTCATTCTCTTTTTCGCCGCATAATTTTATTTAAAACTGCTCGTTTTCATTTTTATTGAAATTCCCGTCGACCAAATCATCATTAGGAATTTTTGGTGTGCAAACAACAGTGAATGGTCACAAAAAAATTGGTTAGCATTAACGAGCTACAAAAAATGTGAACGTTTGTATAATTTTGCATTTTTGATTCGATTCAAGAGTGGGGCCCACAAACATTTTTTTTTTCGGCTATTTGCTGTGATATTTTTTTTCGCAAAGCACTAGGATTTTTTTTGTTTAAATACTGGACGCACATTCGAAATAGGCATCAATGAACAATCAGTTCTAGTACAGTGAGCATTACAGAGCTTCAGAGAAGTTTTTTCTTTGTTGAAAACAAAAAAAGATATAGTGATTTCTTTGTGAAAAAAATAAAACGAAATAAAAACAAAAAAAAATGAAGGTGTTTGTTGTTGTTTGTGCTTTGTTGTCTGTGGCCGTCGCCCAATCAAATCATCCATTGCAGGGATGTTTCGAAAAAGATTCAATCTCTTGTGTCCAACAAATGGTACGGATTTTGTCATATATTTTTTTCAGACGATTTGAACATGGAAAGTGTTTATCGTTTGAGTGAATGAAAAGTGAAAAACCACAACGCATTACTGCCGCTTTGGATTAAAAGAGTGCAAGTGACTTTTACGTCAGCTCCATTGGGATTACGTATAAAATGCAAAAAAAAAAGTGTCTTTACACGATAAAAAAAACATAGAAAGATCAAATGAAAATACCGAAAATGTTCAATGAATCTGAAATTTCATCGCATAACGTCATGAATTAACCGTTTACTAATCATATTCGAATTATATCTCAGGTATACCGTAGCGCCCGTGAATTCTTCGATCAACCAAGCATTCAAATGTTCAGTGGTGTTTCATTTGCCAAGACAAATGCTCGTGCTGCCAAAAGCCTTGAACCACAAGTCGAACAAGCCGCCACCGTTCAAGAACGTGAAGTCGCTTTGGAAGATTACTTGGTGAGCCGCGCCAAAAACTTCTTCTCAGAACGTCAACTCACTTGGGATGTTGCCTCCACCGGTCGTGCTATCTCAGAAGCAATCCCAGTCGATGTTAAAGAATCAGTTTACCAATTCGTTGAAGAAGCTCGTACCACAAAGAAAGTGAAACTCCTCAAGAAATTGCTTCCATTTTTGGGCTTGTTGAAATTGAAATTGGCCGGTTTCGCTGTTTTGGCCGTTGCTGCTATCGGTCTTCTTGCCAAGAAAGCCTTGATCACATCATTCATTGCAATTGCTCTTGCTGGTGCCAGCTTCTTGTCAAGCGTTGTCGCTAAATTGTTCGGTGTTGGTGGTCTTGCCAAGGGTGGAGCCGGTTTGACCGGATTGGCTGGTTTGGGTGGATTGAGCGGATTAGGAGGTCTTGGTGGTGCTGCCGGTCTTGGTGGTAGTGCTGGTGGATTGGGTGGCCTTTTCGGAGGTGCCGGCGGTAACGGCGCATACAATAACGCCAATGTTGAAGAAATCGTTGCATACACCACCAACGCGTAAGTATCATTAACTAATTTACACTTTTATTTGCTCTCATAATTTACATTACTGAACATTTTCTTTAACATCTTTTCACAGTGGTTCATCGGGTGGTAATGGATGGAACAACAATGGCTGGTCCAACAATGGATGGGAAGAACAACACGGTTCACACAGCCAACCAATTGCTCAAGTTCTTGCCTACAACGGTCAACGTCCAAAAACCAACTAAGTAGATGTTAGATACTTAATTTGTAGCAACTACAAAGCAAAACCAATTACTTTTTTCGCATAGAAAAATGTCACTAAATTATTTAATTTATTCAATATTTATTTAACGTAAATAAACACGAAGAAACCAACGAGATAAATAAAGTCAACTTTATGAGGTTTTGTACAAAAAATGAAATAAAATGAAATACAAAATAATCAAGCTATTTTATCTCTCAAATTCTTTGTCTATTGTATTGTCTAAGCACATTTTACAGCAGCTGACATCGATGCATACATAAATCTGATAAAGTCGACTTTTTCGCTTCAACTTGAAGTAGCTGTTCTACTAACAGGAAATAAGTGGAATCTATTATGGTTTACCTTCTCATCTTTGGCTCTTTTTTCATCTTTGTTTCAGCTTAAAAAGAAGAAGAAATAAATGAATAATAATAAAAAAAAATTAACAATGTATTTTAACTGGGTGAAATTCTGTGATGAACTGATGATGTTCATCAATTCAATATGAAAAATCCGTTGTTCGATCATTCATTTTGTTATCGTTTTATATCGCCATCAGCATCGTTTATAACAAAGATTTTGACACAAACTGAATATTAACAAGTGAAAGAGACGACTCAGTTTAAAAGCTAAAAAAAAACACCAGCAATATTGAGATGCGCGTAAAAATGAAAAAAAGCCACAGAAAATCTATTTTAAGCCGATATTGGCACAGAAACGATAATATTCTTAAGATGAGAGGCATATGCATAAATTAAAAGAGAGTAAAACGAACGGCGTTATAAATTAATCGCTACGATTTTAACATTTGCCATTTAATCCGAGCGACAAGAAAGAAAAATCCCACAAACGAAAAAAAAATTTCTCTTTCTGAAATATCGTCAATGTGTGTAATAACGATTAAACGCGCATAAGGCAAAAACAACATCATATTACAGTTAGCAGTTACAGTGAGCGCGAAACGCTAAGTAAACGATCCGATTACGCGTGCTCAGCAATCAATATACCCTGTATGAACTGTATATAAAGCGGTTTAATGTGCTCAAAACACCTCATTCGGCTTGGAGCATGCACCGAAGTATGGAATTACGCTTTAAGGCTAGAATTTAGTAAACAATCAAATCGATGTAGCCGCCATCGGTTTCAGCACCTACAAACATCGTCGGTTGTTATTTGATCGAGTTTTATCCAACATCGAAAAATGTGCGTGCGTGTGTGGCACGCGGTATCATTTATTTAATTTGGTTGTGATGGCAAAATGTAAATGGGACAACCGATGCAGATCATCGACAAATTCAAATGGAATCTACGGTTAGCTACTACTGGCTCTCACTCATGTTCTCAATACACAGTAACAAGTTTTTTCTTTATTTCTTTCATTCTTCTCTACTCTCAATCTGATGCTAAAGTGGCGAAAGAGAGAGTTTAGATCCTCTACCTTCACATAAACCATCACAAGCGCACGCTCACTGTAAAAGCTGCACATTAATATTCAGAAAATGATCGACGGCAATTATTATATATCGAAGTAAAGCATGTAAATGTAAATTGTTCAGGCAAAAAGTGCCCATTTCATGTGCATTTTATCTCTTCTTTCTGTCATTCTCGATGAGTCAAAGTCGACATAGCATCATTTGGTTTTTTTCCTCTGTAGTAGGTGCCTCTTTTTCATTCACTCTTTGCCAGTTATTATTAAGAGACACATTAATTTAATGTAGCATCGTTACATCCGTACCGCATCAGACAAAATCAAAGCACGCATAAAAACACACATACACACACACACACGAAAATCTTTCAACCTAATGATTTATTGGTCAAGAATGTTTATGATTAGTGAACCTTTTGAAACAAAAAAAAAAAAAACCGAGATAAATCGTAAATCAACAGGAGATTTTGAGACGGCCGAAAAAAAGCCATTCATTATTTGACATGGCAAATAACTTTCATTTAATCGATTAGTCGAACTGAGGGCAACCAAAAGTTATAATCAATTTTTATGCGCCGCACAAAGTAAATAGCAGAACAAATACAATTTGGGTGGAGCTATTGAGCATCGCAACGCGCACAGACGGCATTCTTTCAATGAATCGGACGTTAAAAATAAAACATTTTTTATCGATGTCCGTTTTTTTCTTCTTCTTCTGTGAATGTGAAAGTTTTCCAATGAGCAACAGAACTGTATTTGTATGTGCTCGCTCGAATGCGAGCTTTGACGGCGACGACGACAACAACAAAAACAAATGACACATTGTCGCGCATATTAAACCATTTTTATGGTGACAATCGATTGAGCCACAATCACGGATGCAATATTAATTTCTCATCAACCCGATATGATGGCACTCTCGCTCTTCGGAAAAACCGAACCAATCATTTTCACATTCTTCATCCGCGCTTTTTGTTGCCTTCTATTTCTACTTTATGGATGTTCTTTTCTTTCTTTCTCGAGGTAATCATATTTTCACGTCGTTTGAAGCGATTTAATTTTCTATATCTGCAAAGCACATCACATTCATTGTTGTTGGCTCGTTTTTGAACGAAATTTAAACATTCAAATCGTTCACACAATCATTGAAAGAGAAAAATTACCCATAATTTGGACCATAAACGACTACAATGCTGTCGAACATCGATGATTGAATCGAGCGCGCACGCGCACGCGCACACTGCTCAATGAAAAAGAAATGGATAGCAGGAAGGAAAAAAAAACAAAGCGAAACTATCGTCGATTAAGAAATTGGGAAGTGAATGGATTAAAATATTCTTCTTTTCTGATTTGCGATATGCTCTTTTCTATCTTCTTCTATTTTTTTTTTCAACCGCAAGATCACAATCACATGTTTTTGGAGAAATTTTCGCCAATAGTTTACATTATTCATAAACAAAAAAAAATATATATCACATTGTACACATATACATTTGGAGTTTGCTGAATTTGGTTTTGATGAATAATTATGCAAAAATTTTGGCAAATATACAAATCATATGGTTTTACTATCTCTTTCGATGACTAAAAACGTTTGACAAACTGTAAATCGATAGCGAGGATTTTTGCTTTAAATACCGCTCGCAAATTCGGGAATATCGTCAATGCACCATCTTCTCTAGCAGAGTGAACATTTAACAGAGCTTCAGAGAAGTTTCTAAAATCGACGATTTTTGCGAAAAAATATTTTTAAATCGAACAAAATTTGTTTGTGACCGTTTTTCTTTTGATAGAAAATAAAACAGTAAAATAAACATATAAAAAAATGAAGGTGTTCATTGTTGCTTGTGCTTTATTGAGTGTTGCCGTTGCACATTTAGTGCCAGCCGGACAATCACAATCCATCTTGCAAGATTGTTTCGACAAAGATTCAATTGCTTGTGTTCAACAAACGGTACGGAATATTTATCAACATTGAATTGAACATTGAAAGAGTGTTTCATTCGAGTGACTGAGAATAAAAAGTGAAAATTACCACTGCCACTTTTTTTCATTGGATTATTAAATAGTGCAAGTGATTCGGACGCAGATCGTAAATTGGATTACATATTTAGTTTGGTTGGCTGATACATGCCACAAATAGTGTGAAAAATATAAAAAAATCTCTCAAATGAAAATACCGAAAATGTTCAATCAATTTTATTTCTATTTTCACAAAATTTAAAAGAAAAACCATCTCACATTTTAACTAATCAAAATAATATTCGAATTGTATCAGGTATATCGTCGTGCTCGTGAATTCTTTGATCGTCCGTCCATTGAATTGTTCAGTGGTATTGAATTTGCCAAGACAAATGAACGTGCTGCCAAAAGCCTTGAACCACCAGTCGAACAAGCCGCCACCGTTCAAGAACGTGAAACCGCTTTGGAAGATTACTTGGTGAACAGTGCTAAAAACTTCTTCTCAGAACGTAAATTCACATGGGATGTTGCCACCACTAGTCGTGCCATCTCAGACGCTATTCCAGTTGAAGTCAAGGAATCAGTTCGTGAATTTGTTGAAGAACGTCGTCTTGGAAAGAAACTCAAGCTCATCAAGAAATTGCTTCCATTCATTGGCTTGTTGAAATTGAAATTGGTTGGTTTTGCCATCTTCGCCGTTGCTGCCATTGGTGCCATGGCTAAGACTGCTTTGGTCACATCATTCCTTGCCATCGCTCTAGCTGGTGCAAGTTTCTTGTCAAGCTTAGTCGCTAAATTGTTCGGTCTTGGTGGTATTGCTAAAGGTACCGTTGGCAAACTTGGCGGTTTGGCCGGTCTTAAAGGTCTTGGCGGTTTGGCTGGTCTTAGTGGCGCTGCCGGACTTGGCGGTGCTGCTGGACTTGGTGGTGCTGGTGGCTTGGGCGGTTTGGGAGGTTTGGGCGGCGGATTGGGCGGCGGATTGGGCGGCGGTTCCGGTGGATACAGCAATGGAAATACCAACGTTGAAGAAATCATCGCATACACCACTCATGGGTATGAATGAAAATTCCATCGTCTTTAATACATTTAATATTAACAATTGATTTTTCTTTGCGATTACAGTGGATCAAGCGGATCAGGTGGTGATGGATGGAACAACAACGGATGGTCCAACTCAAATGGATGGGAAGAAAGCCGCAGCGCAAAAGACGCTCAAGTTCTTGCTTATGCCGGACAAGTTCCATCCACCCGTCGTTAAATCGATTACATTTAAATTAAGTGGCTGTTAGAAAATCATTTGTAGCAACTACAAACCATAACGAAATTATTTCATATTCGTTTATAAGAGAATATCTAAACATTTTATTTAATTTATTCAATATTTATTTAAATTAAACGTCGACGAAAGTCAATTCAAGATTGTAAAAACAAAAACAAAATGAAGAAATAAAAAAGAATTAGCTAATTTCCAAAATATCGGTTAAATTGTTTAATATATGCATCGAAAAATGTGTCAAATGTGATTGGATTTTGACTGCTTATCACAATAATTTGGTAAGCAAAACATTCTTTCTAAGTGGCCACTTTAGATGGAATACAATATGGTATTGATGACGAACATCATGTCACCATCTAATTAATATTCACGAGAAGAGAAAAAAACCACCGTTATTCAAGGGTACAAAAAATGACATCCAAAAATGGTTCTCACCAAATGTGAAACTTATAATACTTTCTCAAAATGCAGCCGATTCTTTGGCAAACGAGTTTCGGATTTTCAAATATGTGGTCTTATTTCGCGTGGATTGTTCAAATTCTAAATAGAAATCTTGTAACGCTTTAACTTTTCGAAATTTGTTGCAAGAGAAAACCTTTCGCTTTTATTGCAAATAAACACAATCTGAACTATATTATGGAGCAACGGAACCGTGCCTCACTTTATTATTTAGCAAATGGCCAATTTGAAGGATAGAAAAAAAGGCGTCCAGTTAATTTGCTATAAAAAAAAATACATTCTTCGAATTTGATTCGTTTCGATTGCATTAAATGGGATAAAGTGAACGAGTGTTCTAAAAAGAAATAAGAACCAATTTGCATTCGTAATTGACATCCATTTCTATGAATTAACCTGTTCATTCACATTGCTATAAATCATATTGGATTTATAGCCACCATTGTCTGTAGAACCAAAGGAATTGATTGAGTTTTAAATTGTAGGAAAAGAGAAATGGCTTAAAAATATTTATATTTAATGCAACTGATAACACCACATATGGTGCAGAAAATAAAGATTGGCCAAAGATTGCTGTAACCATATTAACGAGATAATATATAAAATTGCATGAATGTGCGAAATGGCCAAGTGTGGCCTGCAAACAATGCACACAAACACGCTAATGTAGCGCTGCAATTTAAACTGAAACGTTACAATAAATTCAATCGGTAATCGTTATTTTACCGTAAATTTTTAAGCGCAAAACTAAACTGGAATCTCATCTGGAATCGCATATAAATTAGCTGCATTGCATTTGACACAATCGCATTTGCAATAGATGCATTTGACGTGTAGCATGGTGATATAGTGGTTTTTCACATTTCACATTCGCTTAAACTGCAGCAGACCACATGTGTTTGACGCTGATAAAATTAAAAACCAAACGCAACGGCTATTTCCATTACAAATAACATAACGAACGAGAGAGAGAGAGAGAGAGAGAGAGAGAGAGAGAGGAGCATAGAGCTTTGTTGCACTTCTTTCACTCTATCACAAAGTCAAGGCTTTTGAAAATCAATGACCTGCTTTAGTTTTACATATAATAACATTCTGCATTTGTATTTTTTTTTTTGTATGCGAGTGTGGCGAAAAGTTGTATGTGCCAGCGCACGTATAAGAAGAAAAGTGGCCACAATTTTATTGCAAATGTTTTTCTTCCGTTTTATAACTGGAAATGTATCGTTCATTCGATTACTACGACGACTGATGCCACTTATTTTTGTTGTACCTCATCTGATGATGTCGATTGATTTGAATTGGTTATGTTTTTTTTTTTTTTGATGAAATGCGAAATGAAGGAACTTTGCTGAGAAATCGTTTGCTGGCAAAACAAAGCACTAGACGATCGTACAAATATAATGATTATTTACACGTCCTTAGCACATGATTATTACTATTATTTTGTATTTTTATGCCTAGTTTTTTTTCATCGGGTTTTATTCTTTCATTCAACTGCATGGCGTCGTATGCCACAGAGAGCACAAACTAAGCTAAGTAAGGCAGTAGTGTCTACACAATTATGGTATAGAGTGAGCTCGAGCGCGTGCAATGCAAGTAAAACGAAGTGAGAAAGAGAAAGAGTGACAGAGAGCGAAAGACACACAAAGAAAGATGCGAAAAGAAAGAAAGAAAGAAAGATAGAAAAAGAAAGAGATAAAAACCAAAGCTGAAAACATTTAGCAGAAATACGTATTTATTGTTATTAAATTGACTTTGAAATGGCATCGAAAAATGATGAAGCGACTCAAGTGCGCTGCTCTGTTACTGCGAAACATGATCGCATAAAATGGATAAAAACCGATTCAATCATTGTTTATATATCTCAAATGATCGTTCAAGTGCAACACCGAGTACTAGTCATGATTGCTGTACATTTGAATCAACTGGCAAAACGAGAGTCTGTCTTGAAACTGTTGCCACCTCAAGTGTATTGTATTGATATGCAACATACGGGGCAACCTGGAGAGAGAACAAAATAAAAACGAGAAGAAAGTTTGAATATTGTAAAATGATTTAATGTCGATTTGTATGCGCTTGTGTGTGTGTGTGTTTGTGCATTTTGTTTCGCTTTTCTGTTTGATTTGAAGTGTGATGTTTTCATGTCGATACACCTTGGCGTGGATGTGATGTGATGTGTTGTTGTTGATTCTGCACTTGATATGCCACTTTAAATTCCATGAAAAATGTTTCGTTGCAAATAAAAAGAGAGCTAAATCTAGCATTCAGCTAAATGAAGGTGCTGATAATGTACGCATGAATGCGTTATAGCGCTATACCAACATGCAACACAACATTTGATTAATAATAACCGATCGATATTTAAATTAAACCGTATTCAGAGAGAGAGAGAGAGGGAGAAAAACGTTCTTCTGATTAAAGAGTGGACTGGAATGGCTGGCCACGCTCTTCTCCCATCACCGCGTGATTCTGGATATATCGCTGTTATAGATTTGTAGTGCGAGTAATTAATAAATTCATTTGAAACATGCGATTTTATTGAATATTTTTTGGTACGCTCGCTACAGTTTCTTCATCTCTCATGAATTTATATGTTTCGATCGAATTAGTTTTAGTATGCCGTCTTACTGCTTTTTTTTCATTGCATTTCGGTTCCTAGGCCGCACCTAGGTGGTTGAAGTCTATCGTTCAAAGGCATCACAAATAAATTATGCAGATGCTTCGTGTGCTTGGTATGTACCCGTTGCATTTACGCACACGTTTGTTGATCCAACGAGCCGAAAAGCAGAGAAAGTTTGAATATGTGGAATGATTGGCTCGTGTTCCATAACACAAAAATACTTCAAAAAATCGTGCATTTTCAAAACAAACAAAGCACAAATAACGAACAACAAGCGACGAACGCATTTTAAAAATCATATAAGCCCATTACAAAATCTTTTTGAACAATTCGAACAAACATTCTTGAATCGAGAAGTTGAAAAAAAATCAACAACAACAAACACAATGCCATCGTGTCGCTTAAGTTATAACTTGAAACAATTTAAACGTTCACATCTGTCGGCCCAGTGATAAATGATGCTCTTTTTTGAAGCAATTATACACCCTAGTTTTTCTCATAATCATTAAATCAAATTCATGAAGTTTATGAGCTGTTTCTCTCGCACTAAACAATGCCACACATTACACCGTGTGCTCTTCTGTCTTTCTCTATTTCTAATTCTTTTCACAAATTAATGCATACAACGAATGCGGCATTGAATTGCATTTTTATTTAAATGTCGTCATTAAAATGTTGACATTGTTGATAATCTTATGAGAAATCAGAGAATAAAAAAAAACGCAAATGAATTTGTTCTTTAATCTATTCCATTTAAAAGAAAATTGGTTTTGAAAATCCATTAAACGCGAATTAATTAAAGGTGTGTGTGTGTGGGTTTTTCGCCATTTAATAAAACGATCATCGATGTAAACATTTCGAATGGGGAAAATGTCACTTGGCAATGGCAATTGAATCATCTGAAAATTGAATTGAAAGTTGTAAAGCCATTTCAGGTCAATTGTACGATGGTGTTTGATCACTAAATCTAACTCGTTAAATTCGGCTTCATGAAAAAAAATCCTCCAAATTTGCATGGCACTCATAAAACTAATAATAATTAATGATAGTGATCAATTTGAGCGAATAACGGTTATTTCGACTTTTGATTCCAAACCGAATGATACGCCAAAATATATCAGTCACTAATTCAATTCACAATGCTCTGTAATCGCTCCAAATCGCTTCACGTTGACGACACAATCCTATCACCGAAAATATTTTTTCTTTTAAATAAACATTTGAATGAGTCGTGCGGTGGTCGAAGAGAAAAAAAAACTTTTACTTTTATTATTGATATATAAATTTCACTTTTCACTCCAAACAACACAAAGCAAAACGAGAATGATTCATATATGCATAAAAAAAAGTGATCAACATAATGAAATGAAAAAGACAGTAGATGCGCAAATAAAGAGAGCACCGTGTAAATGAATCATATCCCATACAATTTGTTGTCATGTTGGACAGCACCGCGGTACAATGCAAGCATAAAACACATTCTCTGTGTCGTATTTCACAAAGTTGTGTGAATCAGAAACGCGCGAGTTAAGCAAGTTTTTGTGTATCTCTGTTTTTTTTAGCCAACCAAATGCCGCTGGCAATAAGTCCAACAAATAATCGTAATAAAAACAACATTCCACAACAATGCAAATAATGCCCGAAAAAAAATGCTGAAAGAAAAGTTGAATATTGAATGAATAAAAATATGGCTCGTTTTTCTCTCGCACAAAGTTGTTTCGGTGTTAATGAACCGCATTATGCCTACGCATAAGATGCACACACGTAAAATGCTTGTAATCGTCAGTCTCATATGGTATGAATAAATGTTTATCATCTTAAAAAAAACATAAACATAATGAACAAAAGGTATCACTTTCGGAGCAAATCGATTCCGGTTTTGGCAAGACTGTAACACACACTATGATCATAATTTTGCGGTAGTTACACGATAAATAGCGAATATATCTCTCACTCGATCGGCTTTTCTTTTTACCGAATGCCATCGAATCGTGTACACATCGAGTGTGTGTGTTTTTGTGTGTATTTGATGACGCACAAAATCATCTTGCCCAATATGCAACATCTATTTTCCCATCTATCGCATCCATCCGGCTCATTCACTTTTACAAAATTCGATAACTA